CGGCAGTTGCCAATATCCCAGGTGAAGAAACGGTTGAAATGCAATATGAATAGAAGCTCTGGTTTAGAAGGCAGATTGGTTGATGAACATTCAACAGAATCGAAAAGCAGAAATGTCTCTGAACCTGAAACTTCAAAAGCTGGAGAAGAAATATGGCTTTGTGAAGCAAAAGATTCTTGCAATGATGCTGGTGATCCCAAATATTTGGCATCTGATATTCCTAATGAAAATGTAAGTATAGGTTTCATAAATATTTACTCTGTAAAATCCATAATGATCAATAGTACGGTTTGGATTTCACTTTTTGATTGCTAATTATATTGCAGCAGCAAGATACAGCAGAAGAGAGGAATCACAATGATGCAGACCAAAGTCACACAATCAATTCTCAAAATCTTGTACAAAACCACCAAGAAGGTAAGTTTAGAAAGAAAAAATAATAACTCAAACATCTGGCTTATTGTATGCCATTTGAAAATGGACGTAGAAGAACATGACTCCTAACTCATGTCTAATGTCTTGCTGCAGGACCCCAAGAGCTTTTCCAAGATCATGAAATTACAATTGCGGCCACTGAGAATTCAGGTTCTTATGTGTTTCTCTTTTCCCGGAAATGATATATATTCATCTAGAGAAGTGAGGGATAGAATTCATAATTGGGCCAATATGAAACCACATAAAAAAATTGAATTCAATCCACTTGCTATGGGAGACTCATAATAAAACATCACGGATGGCACATGAGGATGATTAATTAATTCTTCGAATGTTACAGAAAACACACTGACTGGATCAGAAACCAGCAAGCTAATTCCAAAACGACAAAATGAGCCACTGACGGAACCGGAAAAGAACCTCAAGGAATCACTCACCAAAAGCCACCTATTCCATAGCACAGCTGAAGCACTTTTCAACCTGAACTTACCTCCGAGTGTTCTTCATCATGCAAGTGATCATCAAATCAATGAAGGGGCCGCAGACCGTCTGCTCACGGTAGACATTGCCTACGAGGTAATGAGAAGAAAAGAGAGGAGGCAAGAAATCTCAGTCCATCCATGTGCAAGAATAACATCCATCATCAGTGACATAAAGGTGGGATCTTTAGATGATCTGATCAAGCAGCTGCGGAAGGACTTCGACGAGTTGGCCAGCTACGGCCATAATGGCAGTGAAGAATGGGAGTCAACGCAGCACTTTGATGACATGCTTACGAAAGACATGCAAAACAGAAACTCTGATATAAATAGTATGTGGGACTTGGGATGGGACAGAACCATGTTTGCCTTCCTAGAAAAGGATGAGATTGCAAAGGATGTTGAAAGACGTTTGCTGAAGGGACTCATACATGAGGTCGCCATGGACTTACTGTAAAGTATTGGAGTCCGAAAAACTGACCATTACATCAATGTTTTTGGAGCCATTCAGTAGTTACTACCTCACCAAGTTAATTTTTCACTCCTATATTAGTAATAGTATACAATACGACAAATCTAACAGAAAGAGCCTCGTGGTTTTTTATGGGGTACATTTTTATGGCGTTTTTACTATTTGTTAAAAATACTTTGGTGTATGATAAATGTTGTATCAACTATTAAATTTAGATTCGAATTATTTCCGAAGTGTCGTGGGCTTCCAACATTCTCTTCCTTTTTATGTTACTCGTAGTTTATAACAGTTGTAATGTATTGTCTTTAGAAAATGTATTAAAAAATTTCTACTATTTTAAATTCGAACACGAATTCGAATACCTTAAATATATTAGCGAATTGAATACGAATATTTCTTGAAATTCGAATTATATATGAATTCGATTTCAAATAAATATCGTTTCAAACGAAAACGAATCGAAAAATGAGATATTTGCTTCGATTCAATTCTTATGCACCCTAAGAGCAACTCCAAGGGATAGTGTAAACCTTCTTTTACACTATCAACAGTGTTTTACACCTCCACTTTTTTATACTCACTACAACCATATCTTTTAAATAATACATTTTTATAATATTTTAGTATAGATTTCATAGTTTAATTTTTAATCTTTACTAACAAATCTACAAAACAAAATCCATAGTTGCATATCAAAAGGAATTTGTAGTGGGATATGCTAGGGGTACACCAAAGATGTACACCAAATGTACACCACTTGCCTCTACACCATTCATTTTATTTTCTTTTTATTTTTTTACTTTTATTTGAAATTTTCTTGCCTTTTTTTTTGTGTGGCGATGGAGGGGGTGGGGATGTTTGGGGTAACTTCTGGTTACCCCTGCATTTTCCATTTGTAGTCGCCGACATCAAAATGAAAAAAAAAACACAGCCGCATACCTTGAAATTGCAGGCCTAGAAGTCTACAAGTAATTTTTTTTATGCAAATCCAGATCTCCATAGTTGCAGAGGAGCAACAGAAGAGAATTTTTGGCGATTGGCGAACGGGAAGAGCTCGATTGGCAATTGGCAAAGTGGAGAAGATAGCAGCGAACAGGTAGAGCTTGATTTCCACTATTCACACTAGCGTGTATATTTGGCATTCGAGAATGGAAAAATACAATCCCTTCTATTTTATACATTATCCGCTGGACACCTAAATTTTGTATAGTGTAAATGCTAAACCTTCCATTTTTTAGACTTTACTCATTTTTGTACCCCTTGGAGTTGCTCTATTGGTGAGAACAAGAAAAAAGTAGCAAAATTTTAATTCACTTTTTTTTTAAAAAAACAAAGTTAAGTTCATCTTAGAATTTATTGTGTCATGGACTAATAAGACTCGATCGATCTCTTGAAAAAATCAAAATTATTTAAAATGAGATTGATCCAGTTTTTCTGTTAAAATTCCGGCGGGCTAAGAACAACAGATAGAGTGTCGGGTAAAATTAACCACTTGCATATAAAGTCGAGATCCATAATTCTAACACAAAAGCTTAAGCTGATAGGTAAGGCTTCACCCTTCAATATATGCAAGTGATGCTGATCTTTATTTTTCGACGTGGGAACTCCAACACTTTCTTAAAAACAACCTAGACTACTTCGGTCGTCATAATGGTAGCATCAACCCTAATACTTTGGTACCAAATTGTTTTGGTAAGATAGTGTTGTGGTATGTCAAGCACTCAGCATAGTGAACGATAATATAACCATTTGCCTAATTAATTAGGTATGATGCATTAAAAATAATTTTAATTAATAATTACAATACATACTCACACACACAGTCATACAAACACATACAATCTATAATTTTTTAATACCAAATTTTAAATATTACACCCTCAAAAATTAAATTTTATTCTGAAAAAAATAATTGACATATTTAAATTATTGAGTAAGTTTTATGGACCTAATAAATTAAGTAATTATTAGAATTAAATATATGCATAAATAATTTAAATACTTATACTTGCAAAAGTAACTCTACGTTTTAAAATTTTAAATCATAGGAGTATCTATTATATACAACTTTTTCTTGATTATATTTTCTGTCATTTTCTACATTGCATCACGTGTGTGAAAATATAAGTTTAATTAATTTATATTATTTCTAAAGTTATTTACTTAAAAAATATTTTAATATATATTATATTACTCTAGCATTTCTTTATGTTAATTGCTTAAAAATATAATTAAATTTTCATTTATATTAATTATTAAATTTAATTATTTAAAAACTATTTTCAAATTAATTTATATTATTAACTTAAGTTAATTATTTAAAAATGCTTGTGGTAAGTTGGTAAATTGGCGTGTGTGGACCCCTATTTGAAGAAAGAAAAGTGTAAAAATAGTAGAATCTAATATTGCGCAAATGTTGAAGATAGGTAAAGATGATGAAGTATAAAAAGTAGTAGATAGGATATGCCTACCCTCCACCCTTAGCAGATTGGGGTATGCGACATGAAGAATTTAATGAAGATGATTTGAGCAAATGAGTACTCATTTTTCTAAAAATAGTTATACTTAGCTTGTAAACAAGTATTTAGTTACTCAAAAATTAGTATTTAGTTACTTGAAGTTGAGAGCTCACCACGGATGTATGTGAAATATCATACATCTGGAAGTATATATGGTATCGGTGCTCGTTCAAAAAAAATATTGGGTATTAAACGCTGGGGTTGTAGATGTAAACTTGTAGGATCCTTGCACAGCTAAGATTTTATTAATTTTTTTTGCTTCCTTTGGTTTTCTATAAATAGATTAACAAAGCGGATAAAATAGTGTGAACATATGAATAATGAACGAGATAATTGTTTTAAGACAAATAAAATATTAAAACCAAATTGGTGAATACATGATTTTCTCGGTATACATGCGTATATACTATACTAGGTTGATTGAATTGGCTTCATTGAAGCCTGAATTGAACAAAATCTATACATGTGATTGTTGTAGTATCACTCATATAATGGGTTCAATTAGGCCGGCCTAATGTAAATCAACCATTTTTTTTCCCTAGAGAGAATCACGTACGTGTAGTACGTGTAGTTAATAATTAAGGTCATTAGTGAGAGAGATGAGATGGGGTGGGTATATACTTTGACGGTGGATGAGAAATAGGAAAGGGTATTACTTAGCACCCAAGAAAGGATGCAGGCACTGTGTCCCACATTTCAATCAAAATTAAATTAAAGTGTGAATGAAGATAGAATTAGCATACCATGTTACACCATTTTACCATGTTACACCATTTGTACACCAAACTAACAAAGACATACAGACACATAATGTATATGAATTGTATAATAATCATACATTTTGTGGGGGGCTTACGGCAGGATTGGGGTAGAGAGTTTAGGGGTGGATTAGAAAGATAGGAACCGATAATTTTACGTACGGAGCATCGGAGGTGTCCCAGAAACGCAGTGGCACCGCTAGTGGCACCGTTCTCCAGTATCACTAGAACCGGGCCGACTCAACAAATATGTGTGTGTGTATATTGCATTATATTATCCATTCTCAAATCCCATTGCTTTATATATTGCATTATATATATCCATAATATGCCGCCGCTTCATAATAACATTAATTAGGTTGCAAGCAAGAACAAATTATACTCGTATCATCTTCCACCACGCACCACCCGGCGGCGGCCTCCTCCCCGCCCAAACCCAAACCCAAACAATCAATTAAAGCAAGCAAGCATGGCCACTCTTCTTTATACTTCTTCTCTCTTCTTTCTCTTTCTTTTTAGTCTTTCAGAGGCTCAGTCATTTATCGGTGTGAATTACGGGCAAGTGGCGGATAATCTTCCGGCACCGGAGGCCACCGCCGAGCTCCTGCACTCCACTTCCATCCAAAAGGTCCGGCTGTACGGCTCTGACACGGCGATCATTAAAGCCTTAGCCAATACCGGCATCGGAATCATGATCGGAGTGGCCAACGGTGACATTCCGGCGATGGCCACCGACCCCGGGTTCTCCCAGAGATGGATAAGTTCAAATGTCCTCCCCTTCTACCCGGAGAGTATCGTCACCACCATCAACGTCGGCAACGAGATCCTGTACTCCGGCGACCGGGATCTCATGGCCCAGCTCTTGCCGGCGATGAAGAATCTCCAAAGCGCAATCGACTCTGTTTCAGTACTGAGAGGAAAAATCAAGGTGTCCACGGTTCACGGGATGTCGATGCTGACGTCGTCGGAGCCGCCGTCCTCGGGGCGGTTCGACCCGGCCATAACGGACTCTCTGAAAGAGATCCTGAGCTTCAACAACGCCACGGGCTCTGCTTTCCTCATCAACCCATACCCTTTTTTCGCTTACCAGAGCGACCCACGGCCGGAAACCTTAGACTTCTGTCTATTCCGGCCAAACGCCGGCCGACTAGACCCGGCCACGAATATAAGGTACACGAACATGTTCGACGCGCAGCTGGATGCGGTGAGGTCAGCACTGGACTCGACGGGGTTCAGGGAGGTGGAGATCGTGGTGGCGGAGACAGGGTGGCCGTACGCCGGAGACGCAAACGAGGTGGGCCCCGGCATAGACAACGCCAAGGCTTATGTCGGGAACCTGGTTTCTCACTTAAGATCGACGGCGGGGACTCCATTGATGCCGGGGAAATCGGTGGACACGTATCTGTTCGCGTTGTACGACGAGGACTTGAAGCCTGGGCCCACTTCCGAGAGGTCTTTCGGACTCTTCTACGGGAATTCAACCATGATTTACGATGCTGGACTTTCGAAATCCTCCTCCTCCAATCAGGTTAGTTATTCGGCCCATTTTAAATTAGAACATTGCCTCATAAAAATAATGGAGTAGTTTCTACACTTCATAAATTTCTACCCTCGGAATTGTATTACTCCTTCCGTCTCTAAATATTTACCACACTTGTATTCCCGAGGTAAAATATCAAGTTTTTTCAATTCATTTTATTTACATATTGGTATAGAAATAAAAAATAAAATTTACATATCAAAAAAACTACATGAAAATTCTTCGAAATAAGAGGTGTCAATAATATTTTATTTTATCAAATAACCAATGAAAACATAGAAATAAACAAAAGTTCCCGCGACTGCTAAAAAAGCAAACGTTGCAAATAATTTGGGACGGAGTGAGTATTTAAATTTGGTCGACATTTTAGTAAATAAATGAATAATTTATGCTAAATATAATTAAAACATAAGTCGTTTTTTAATATTCCCTAAATAACACTTATTAATGTTTAGTGAGAGAAATAATGTCCAGTGATGGTAGATATTTACTTAAATACGGAGTAATAACTAATGGATAATGACAATGATCTTTCATTGATAAAATAAAAACATACGGTCCTGTATTGAGAAATTAATTACGGAGTATTTTTAGTCTTATTTAGGTAAATTCTTTTAGAAAAATTTGACCCAGAAAGCAAAGAATGCAATCGCGGGGTATAGGGTCGTTAGGGGACGAGGTCGGGGTACAGTCCGGCCGGGGCAAGGTTTTATATGTTGTTACGGAATAGGGTATTGAGTAATCAAAGAACAAACAGAAAAACACAACAACAGATTTAACGTGCTTCACCAACGTTGTGTTGGCTAGTCCACGGGGAAGAGGGGGAGCAGTTTTATTTCTGAAGGAGAGGCAAAGCAGAGTACAACTCATAGGGTTTGTGGTAGCACCCATATAAATAGTGCTTCACTAAACCCTAACATACTTGGGCCCAAAACTACATAATTAACAGATAATTAGAAGCCCAATTAACTTCTCCGGATTCTGACTCCTCCGGATTCTGACTCCTCCGAACTCTGACTTCTCAGAAAACGGACTTCTCCGGATTCGGAGCTGTGATGGGTCAGATTCAAGGCATTTTAACAAATCTCCACCTTGACTTGAATCCTCCATACAGATTCTTCAGATGCACTCTTGATTGTGCCAGACCTCCCCCTCTTCCCCAGAAGTGCCCCGCAGGGCTACTAACAGCTTCTGATGTTAAGCAAGTCCAAACAATGTCGGAACTTGCTATGTGGGACCGGCTTGGTGAACATATCAGCAGGGTTATCAGCAGTGCCCACTTTCTCCACCTTGATTTTCTTCTCATTCCTCAGAAAATGATACCTCACATCAATATGTTTGGTTCTCTCATGATGGACCTGATCCTTGGCTAAACAGATAGCGCTCAGATTATCACAGAACACAAAAGCTCGCTCTTGATGCAGACCAAGATCACCAACTAGCCCTTTCAACCAGATTCCCTCTTTAGCAGCTTCTGTCAACACCATATATTCTGCTTCAGTA